AATAGTTTGAAAAAGTTTTATTCCATCATTAGTATTATGCAATTTAGGCTCTTGAACTTCAGGTGATAAAAACACTTAAGAAACACCACCAGGAATACTCGTTCACTGTGCTCAATGCACCACAGAATGATTTCATTTAAAGAAGCAAACATGACACATTCATGGTTGTCAAGTGCAAACAGGCTTACTTTCAGGTGTTGATCTCTTTTTTCAGGCATGCTGCTAAAAAAAGTAGCAAATATATTCACAGTAAGAAACAAAGGTTGCAGATTTACTAAACCAGGACATGAAGTGAACTGGTTTGCCAAGTCTAATCAAACCTGCTCTTCTTCATGTAGTCTGGATGCAACCCTAAAACACACCTTAACTTCAGGTTAAACTAAGGTCCCCTACTCTTTATGAAGTGTTTCCAGTTGCTAATTTTTTGCCCAACACTACAGTTCTGGGGTTTGCTGGAATACATCAATGCTGCAGATACATACCACCTTCTGCGTACATCCAAGAAGTTTTGTTTGTCTTGCTGTTCTTCCATTCTCTGGAGCAGTTCTTAGCCATGAAGGTTGTATGCAGTGTCTGGCTTTTTCTGCAGATGTGGAGCCAATGCTCTGTTTCATCTTAGAGGGGCCTCAGTAGAAATTATCAAGGAGGCTTTAAGCTTGATGCTCTGTCTCAGCTATTCTGAGAACAAAGCAACCCCCCACCCCCTCCAACAAAGCCCTTTTCCCCCATATAGAAGATGGGGAAGGGATGGGATCAGAACTTTCCGCTGTTTCAGCTGAACATCAGAGACACATAGTTCCAAAACTGAGAGTGCTTTAGTTGATATACCCCAAATTCCTTATTTTATTAAGCTGCTTGAGTCCCTTCCCAATAGCTACTGAAACAGAACTCTATCAGCAGCCATTAAATACTCCTGGTTATTGCCTTCAAGAAAGAAGTTTCCTCTCCTCATCTATAGCTGGATTTATTTAATCAAAACACATTGGATCTCATGGTACCTTGGAAGTGCTGTGCTGTTAAGTGCTCTGGTGCTACACTGGTACTAGTAACCTGAGTCCCTGAATAGTAATTGTTAAAAATAAACAAAATGTAATATAGGCCAAAGTTTTACCCCCCAATATCAAAACTACTAATACTTAGAAAGGCTAACATAATCTGTGAAGGCATGCAACTATGACAGCCCTTTAAAAGAAAGAAAATATTATTTATTCAACATAAAAATATTTAAGTCAAAATTCTAAGAGGTGATTAAAAACCACTCATATCAAACAGCAAAGCAAAAACGTCACAGTAACTCACTCTTATGTAACACAGGTACTACATATCCCCAAATTCCTGTCTGTATGAGAACTTATCTCTTGTAAAATCTTCCATTTTAATAGGATTATAAAAGCAGTACAATTTAAAGCGATACACTGCTCACTAAAAAATGGCAGCTTTACAAAACTGTTTTTAGAAAGTTTAAATGTTTTAAGATACAGCACTTACCTTGTATCTCTAGCCTCTTTCTGTAGTGTCTGTTTCAGCACATTTCTGGTCAATTGGAAAATAAAGATAGGGAAAAGAAAAAAAATCATAAAAATGTCACAAATATTCTTTATTTTAAAAGTTACATTCTAGTCCACCTATTAAAAACTTAAGAATACAAGCTGCTCTCAGTTTTTGCAGTTTTGTGATGTTAAGAGTATCTTATTAGGTTAAAAATCCTTAGAACTAACTAATTTCAATATGCTCTAAGCTCATCTTTTAGCACCTGCCACATTACTACTCAAATTCTAACACATTAGTTATTTGTCTTTCCAGTTACCTCTGGCAAGAATAATAGTGCTAGAGGTGCATCACTCACTCCTTTTAACTCAACTACAGACCAGTCCTAGCTCCTTCAACTCCATCTTGCATAATTCCTTAAGAGCTGGAATGTCTTCACACTTTGAAGTTTAAATGCCAGTTATAACTATGCACTATAACTTCTTTTAATAACAGAAATATAGTTTAGATTTCCATAGATTCCAATATGAATGAATGTTTATAAAGAAAAAGGAAACCATTTACAACTACATTTTGGCTTTTTGCTAGGACAACAACTCAGACATATTTGTTCTGTCATTCACATTTCATTTATTAGTGCATTTTAGAGTATGTGTGTACATATATATATATACACACATATGATTATGGCAATGGAATTCTACTGCATACTAAATTTAGAAAAGTTTAAAAAAAGATAAAAATCACAGTTATCTTTAAGGCTGGCATTTATTAAATGCCGTTTCATACAACATTAACAAGGTTTTCCAGTTTTAGCTTTGAAGTCATAAGTATTAGCCTAAAAGGTTCCATACATTGCTCAGCCACACAATGTTGCTTTGATTCTGAGAGATGAATCCTAGTATATAGGCTTTTTCTTCTTTGAAAGGTTTGCATGCCCAAAGGCTGAAGCTGATGTTATGGTTTCTATACATATCAGTGAAAGAGGTTAAAAATTAAAGATGTAAAAACCCAAACCAAAACATACAAAAGGAAGAGGTTAGAAGACTGAAACACCAAAAAGGCCTAAAACCAGCCCACAGTCAAGGTATTTATTCTTCCTTTCAGTAAATATTTAATCAGTTATCTAAGTGCTGTTTAAAAAAAAAACACAACTAAGTATATTCCCTATCCAGTATCATATTAATCCATAATTCAATGTTATCTAATTTGATTTCTAAACAAGGGCTCCAATTTATTGAACATTTAGAGCATATAAACACTAAATTTGTCTGAATATCTGTGTATTAACCTCCATCTTTAAAGCTTTTTTATAATTACTCATTCCCACAAATTAAAATTTGTAAATATTAAGGTGATTCTCATGTGACTGTATGTCTGCTGCTAAAAATTCACCGGTATCATTAAGTTCAGTTTTCTAAACTTCTCCAAATACAGCCAAATTGTGAAAGTTGGTCTGCACTTCCAATAACATACTATAGATTTTCAGCTTCCAGATGTTTTTCTTAATAACTGACATGATTACCAGACAGCACTCTGTCAAGTTTTAAATGCAACTTATACCACAAAATCATAATTTCCCCTAACTAATTACACAGGAAAGAAAAATTCAGGAAGGAACTAGATGAAACGTCAAACATTTAAGAAAATAATCATGAAATGCCAGCTGTGCCTTTGTTGAGAGGTTTAAAACATCAATTAATTTAAAACCTGGGCATTTTTCCATCATAAGGGGAAAGATGTCGTGTGATAAAAAAGTGCAATCACCTTCCCATAAACAAGAACTTTAGAACATGTCATACTCACAGTACAGTGTAAGCTTTTTTTTTTTCTTAAAAAGTGACTGATGTTAGTCTAAACCTTTTAGACATACTGACAGCGAAGTTACAAGATTTCACAGTGCTGTTTGTGAAATATGAATGAAAATATAATTTTCTAATATTTACTTTGTGATTAAACTAATTATTCACTTTATTTTAAATCCTGCAGTTTTAATTTCAACTCTATTACCTTCTGCAGCCATATAGTCCTAGCATTCTCTCTGCTGCACCGAGATAGCCTAACAGCAGTTTTCTGCACTGCATGCTTAGCAACCAATACAAAAACCATATAAACGGAATAAAGGCAAATGCATTTGCTGGCACAAAGGAAAGGCACTGCAGCACAGCTCTTTACCCTGGTCTCTCCATTCTGAAGAATGCCACTCCCACAAGTGTTAACTGATTTATGTGCATCTGAGATAAAAGATCTGTGCATACAATTGCTGGTGATACTATTTTCAGTACAGAGCCGATTAACCAAGTGCCGTCTAAAAATCTATGTATTTCACAAATAACAAACCAAACCCTGTAGCAATCCCTGGTGTAAGGGCGGCTGCTCTTTTAACAGGTAAATGAACCTACGCTGTGATCTGGGTCATCAAGGCCAGAGGTCTTAACTGCTTCACTGCTTTTAACAAGGGAAAGCTTTTATTTCGGTGTACGTATTTTTAAGGCCAGACACTGCCGTTATGCCTTTCTACCCACAGGCCCCGTACCTCATTCGGGAGGTTGTGTGCCATGCTAAAAAATAAACAATGATAATAAAAAAAACTAAGTCCGCGACCGCATAACAGAGGGAAAACCTATCAGCGTAAGCACGCTAGAAGGCGAGCTGGGCCGAGCTCCAGGGGAGCCGCATCCCGGGGCGCGATGCGAGAGGTGCCGCACCAGCACCGCCGGCAGGGCTGAGGGGAGGCCGACGCCGCCACCACGTCCCCGGTCGCCGGCCCCGCGGGGCCGCTGCCGTCCCCGGGCAGGGTGAGGGGAGGCCGCGGCTGCCGGCCGCCCCTCTTGGCGCCGGGCCAGCGCGGCGAGGCGCACTCCCGCCCGCTGCAGCCTCTTTAAGATGGCTCTGGCCGGCGCGAGCGGGCGGTCACCCGCGGGCGGGGCCCCGGGGCCAGGCAGCAGCAGCGGGCGGGCGGCAGCGGGCTGGCGGCCGCCCCTCACCGCCCTCCGGCCCCGCCGCGGCGGCGCGGCACGGCACGGCCCGACCCTCCGCGGGCGCGGCACCGCCGCCATCCCGCCACCCTGAGCCAGGGGCTGAGCCGCCGCCGCCCCGCCCGTCACGTGGCGCGCGCTCCCCCGCGGACCCCGCGTGGAGGAGCCCGGCACGAGCGGCGGCACCGTCCGGTCCCCGCTCGCTCCCTTAGCCGCTCGCTCACCCTCGCTCGCCGCCGCCGCCGCGGACGCGTCCTCTCGCGAGCTCTGCGGCCGAGACCGCCCTCGGGCGCGCGCCCCGGCGGTTGACCCGCAGGCGGGGGCGGGGAGGCCGACGCGCGCGGGCGCTCTGCGGCCGCCTCACGCGTGTGGGAGGGGGCGGGGGCGGGGCGGCTGCATCCGGGTACTCGCGTCCCTCACGGAGGGGCCACTGCGGGCGGGGGCAGGGCAGCTCCTGGTTTCTCGTGCTGCTCGTGGCCTCGGCTGACCCGAAATATCCTCGGGGGTCACTGCCCCAGAGCCTGAGGTAAACCGTCCTTCGCACCCTCACGGTGGTCCCTCGCCGTGTCACCCTCAGCCCATCTGCAGGTACCTCCTGCTCTGGGCGCGCCTGGCTGCCGGCGGGAGAGTCGCGCCAGACTCACCCCGTGCCCCGGGGCTTGGCTTGGGGAGCGGCAGGGCCCAGCCGGCGGGCCCGAGGCTAGGCGGGATCTCTGAAGCGCTGGGGTGAGTAGTGCACACCCCCTCCCCGCCGCGGCGGCGCGGCCCGGGGCGGTTCCCACAGAGATCTCGTCCAGGTGCTGCAGTCGCATAATTTCGAAATTCAAAGCAAAGCTCAGGGTATGGCTTCAAACCTCGGCTGTGCAAACACACATAAACAAGATGGGACTCATAACTCATGCGTTTTCCCTTCAGGCTTAGCTATAAATGTCTGAGGTGACTGAACTTGATCAAACATCAATTCGGAGGAAGAAAAAACATTTATTGCAAGAGGTTTTAGAAACCTAATGATGTCACTTGAGAACGTGCAGTAGAAAAAGTATGCATTTATACTGCGAGCAGAATATGAGCATGCACACAAATAATAATTAGTTTGTTGCGTGTATTGCACAACACTGCTCACAGCAGTCAATATCTTACTAACAAATGGACTTTTACTAGTACCAAACCAGTCCTATTCCATAACCATACTGCACCAGGTCCATTACTATGCAGCTCTGCTAAGAACTGAGCTGCCAGTTGGTGCAACAGTCTAATACATCTTTTTTATTATTTGCAGTTTGCTAGTGTCCCGGAGCTTGCTAGGAGGCTACATCGTAGTTAGCTACGCGGTAACAAGGCAAATACATGGTCCTCTGCTCCAAAGAGTTTTTCAATGCAGTGATATCACAGACAAATGGAATACATACATGAAATACTTTTTTAAAAAAAAAGTCAGTTTTTAATTTGTTATGGTTTTAAGTTGCTAAGTAACATCCCAGTATGCTTTATTATAGACTAATGCTTTGACATTTAAAGGATTACCTGTTAAAATTATTTAGATGGACTGAAAGGGTTATTACTTGTTTTGCTTTTTTAAACAGAGTACATATCTCTTACATTCCTCTAGATTACAGTTAGCTAATCAGATTTTATCCAATTTCAGAAGCAAGCTAAAAACAGCAATGACCCGAAAACTTAGCAATGAACTGTGTAAAGATCTCATTAAAACCTGTAATTTGCTCTGGATTTACTTCCGTCACCCTTCAAATAAAACAGTTCAGATGTGAGCACTGTTAAAACCTGAAATGCAAACAACTACAAGTAAGCACTCAGTTTAACGTGTAACATTTTATTAAACAAATTAGGATTACAAAATAGTTCAGGTGAAATTAAATAAAATCAATTTATATCTGAAATTTCAGATTTCTAAGGAAATGGAAAAAAGCTGTATAATGGCACAGAGATTAAGATCTTAGTCCTGCTTTGCCATTACATTCTTTGGAGAAGGTCCTAAAACTTCTGAAGCAAAGGCAGAGAAATGATAAACATATGAATTCAATGGAAGTCTATTGTGTCCAAAAATAATTTTCTCAAACTGAGAGAAATGATACCCTAAATTCAAGACAAATTATTACATAAAACCAAACAGCTATTGCGGTTAACAAAAACAGCAAAAAAAGTAATGGAGGTGTATGTAACAGGGATTAGGTGAGACCATAACAGTTAAAAAAAAAAACTGTGCAGTGTGACAACTATTGGAACACCTTTAGTTCAAGGCCTTTTTTCACAGACAAATGCTTTTAACGTGGTCAGAAATTTTTAGAGATTAATTAAAGACATTTACAAGCTGATTCTTCTGCTGTATTTGTGTTTTAACACAAACCACAGGTTCAGATAAGCACAGCTACACCTCTGTTCTTCACAATTAATCTCTAAGGACAAATCAAGGGGGCTTCATCAAGTCACCCACTGCCCATGCCTAGAACGTGTATATTATCCTTCAAAATCACTATATATTTGGTGCTCCCCTCTCCTATAAAATCTAATTTTTTAATGTTTTTCTAGTAAAAAGTTGGTCTAGAGAGTTCTAGGAAAACTAATAATTAACAACAAAAAAAATCATCACCTACAAATTCGGTAGTGCACACAAAACCAGAAGTAATTGGGGAAAATGGATTTATAATGTAAATTCTAGAAAATAATTTTGGATGTGAATGGTACTGAAGGTGAGATGTCAGATAATTATGCTAAAGAAATTATGTTAGGACTTTTTTTCTCCTTCAAATGCACTGAATAACAGGGGTATTTGCTGTATTAATCTTTTTTGAATGGTTTCCGTTCACAAAGATTCTTTATGTTCTGTTTTCCGAAATGCACAAGACATCCCTTTGCTACAGAGAGATAATGTTGATGAAGTTCAGTCTGCCTATTCACCTTTTTTAATTTCCTTGAAGTTAGCCAACACATTTAAAAAACAGAAACATAAAAATATTAGCTGTGATGGTAATATATAAATAATATTTCTATTTTGTATATAAGTATTGATATTACATAATTACTGCAGAATTGCAGATTACCTCTTTACAGAGTGTACAGAATATTTCAGTATGAGTATGTACAAGAATATTGTGCAAGAGGTGTAAAATCTCATATCACAATGCAGTCTAGATTAGTTATTTCAACTGTGTGTATTGAGGCATTGCCAGTTGATTGATTAGGAGAGTATAAATCTGGTTCGTATTATGGAATACCTTGAGTATTTTGTGATAAATAATACTATGGAATACTAAAAACCTGGAAAAAAAAGGTACCAGAGGAAAAGGTGTGTTAAAAGGTTGACATTAAACACAGTTGATACTCATTTCTTGAAAGTCTGTATGCTTTTTAAAAGAACATGGTGGTACTAGCCAGTGGAAAAGAAGATTCATTTGAAGCAGCAAAGAACTACTTGAACAGTTTATCCCATAAAATCACTCTATGGAAATTGTCCAGCTCCACACAATAGCTCTTGTCTTTTGAGCACCACCTTTCCTGTCTTGGGCATGAACATGGACAACACTTCCTTCTTATTACAGAAAAGTTTAACTAGAGCACTTGGCATTTGCCTCCAAGAATAACAATGAACTCTATATTCCCTTTCTTCCATTAGAAGTAAGCATAAGAAACAGAGTTGCAGTGATTTTAAGTGCTACGGTAGTGCTGGTGTTTGAAAAGATAGACCTAACTCTCTATGTTGCTTTTGAACTAGTGCCCTGCTGTTAGAAACTGTTGAAGATGAAAAGCAGACAAGTGACACAATATCAGTATTTTAATATCCAAATTAATGTACAATAAAAATATTTGTTGTGATTTATAATAAATATGTATTTCATCATGTAGTTGTAAGTTGTATATTTTAGGGAAAGATTGTTTATGTGATGAAATAATGCAAACATTTTTCTAGAAATTAATTAGAAACTACAGATGCTTTTCAGTACTAGTCCAGGCTTTATATAAATAATTTGTTCTAGAAATGTAAAGACTGTGTTCAGACTTGTTAATAAAGAAAGACAATTCATTATTTAAAACATAAAATAAAAATATTCTGTCATTAATTTTAAATTAGCACAAGAATTGTCAAGTTCACCCATACAATTTTGTACGGATGTGGTTTTACATGTTGAAGTCATCAAATACAAGCAGTAGTAGTAAAGTCATCAGTGTACTTGTCTGAGATGTGCCTGTAAAAATCTTACGTATGACACCTCAAAGACATTTGAATTTTTTTCCAAAAGCTTCCTATCATTTTTTTTCTCGAGCATATTAGAAAAGAGAGGGTTTATTAAATGTCTAGACCAACGAGTCCATATATGGGTTGATAAAGAGAAGGCACTGTTGTCCAGAAATATTAGGAATATCATGCTGTCACTTTTGCCTGTATATATTGCTTCATATGAACATGGAATTTCACTGCTGTTAATGCAATGACCAGTGCATCCAATTGACTAATTATTGATAAAAACTTGCTACTGTTGTTTATAGAAAGATTGTCTTACAGTGCCTGTATTCTGCAGGTCTTCTGGTCTATTTCTCTTTTTTTTGTTATATAAGTATTAGGTAACTATATACAAAAATCACACTGGCTTTCTGGGAGGGAAATTCACATACGCCACTCAGTAAAAGCACATTCTGTGTTAACGCTAGTGAAGTTTAAAAAAATGTTAGCGTACATTTTCAAGTAGTGGTTTTTTTGGTTATCCTAATCTTCATGCATTGTGACGTTCATTTGTAACATCCTTCTCAAGAAAGCACTTGAAGCCTGTCTCTGCTAACACAAATAACTGATGTACTTCTCTTAAAACATTGCTGAACTTATGCTATTTCAGAGACAAGCTTTTATTCATAGGTTACCTTGCCAACCACAATTAGCACCCACTCAGATGAAGTGTATCATACAGTTGCACCTCTCTACAAAGAGAAATGCCATGTAAATGAATTATTTTAAACATAAGAATTTTTTTTTTTGTTATTTATAGGCATAAGAATGCCTCGAAACTGTTAAGAATTTTTTAAATGCTGCTTTAGAACATGTTGAAAATATACCTTCACTGAAGCACTGAAAATAATATATTCTTATACATAAAATCAATTTCTGCGTATGAGATTAAAAATGAAGCATTTCAGAGAATTTCTGTAAATCTGCCTTTGCCCAGGAGCACCAGTGAACCACTTTGGTTTTTCCTGTTCAAATTGCAATTAGTACATAGGGTATGAGGATTTTGCTCAGCATGAATGTTTATTGAATGATTAACCTTTAAGAGGTTTAATTATGCATTATTAGAGTTCGAATGCTGAAAAAAGCATTTTGTAATACTTGTTTGCTGCTCCAGGTATTTTTGTTAGAAAGTTGTTCCAGTTTTTCCAGTCTATCTATGGAGTATCCACAGTCCACAATGGAACAATGAACACTGAAGCTCAAGAAAAGTTCAAATACAGGGTATGATTACAGAAATTGGTTGTTGCAAAGACATTTTGATCATGTGGAAGCTAGAGGGAAAAGGAACATACAGAGTAAACTTTCTAGTAACTTTGCAGGTGTGGTTACCTTATTTTCACTTTCCAAAGATAAATCCCTATTTCTTTGAGTAGGTTCTTAAGTAGCGGATATTTTAGCTTTTGTAAATCTCTGTCATCTGTGGTATTTAATCATTTTAGGCAGGTTGTGTCCTCAAAGATTTGGACTACCTGCAGAAAAATAAATGCAATTATTAGTCTTGGCTCACAAAGCCCAGTGTCAACTATGTATTTGATGGGAGATACTTCATTTCTTGATAGAATTCATTGAGTGGATATCACAATTTTGTCATGTAACTTGCAGGATTACAGAATAGTAATGCAGTTACCTTACAATTGAGCAAGCTATTTTGAAACTAGGATGACAACTACGGCTTCTGTTAGTGCCATATAAATAGTAATTATTACGTTCTAATAGATTCCTTAAAGGCCTGAGATCAAAATAAGATTGAAAAAACATGCCATGCAATGTAAAAATGACTTCTTTCTCCAGAGGCCTTTTTGGGTTATTTCAAATAACTGAGGGGGAAGTGGGTAAAGATGACTTGTTGATACAGTGTTACTTGAATTTGAATAACCTTTTAACATTCCTGTTACAAAGGCTCTTACCAAATGACATCATAGTTAAAAAGGGGTGGTTCTCTCACAGACTAAGAACTCCTTAAATCCAATAGGAAAGAAAGGATGGGAATGTTTATGTGAGGTATCCCATTGTGGCTACTCTTAGAGGGAGCATGCTGGTCTAGATGGACTTCTAGCGTAAACCACACTACCATTTTTTATTTCTGTATGACAAGGAAATTGAAAAAGCATTTATCAGAATAATAGTTAAGAACAAAACAAAACAGACAAAAACCTCCCACCAGATAACCGGTTAAATTAGTTGGTTAAGTAAGTATATAAACCATTATTAATTTGAAAAAGCCATGTTACAGAAACAGTAGGCTGACCTTATCTCTGCCATAATTTTTTTGTATTCTCTAGAGAAATTTAAAATTATTTTAGCTCAGTGATTATATCAAGGGGACTTGATCTCTGGAAGCAGTGATCCTGCAAACAGTTTTAGTCTCCATTGCCAACTGTAGTCATGCTGACCTTACTGAACGGAGCTCACTGGAGGCCATCAGTGGCTTATCATAAAAGAAAACAGTATTGCACTTAGGGTTACATCTGAAAAATAATTGTAACTCATGAACATTGATTGTTACTACATTAGGTTGCAGCACTACCAAACAGCAGTTATTTCTATTAATAATAAATACAGTCTTGTCCTGAAGCTTGAATAGTCTGTCACAGGAATCAGATATTTATTAATGGCATTTAAATTCAATTTTTTCATCTGTGTTTGATGGTTGAATGTTAATGATGCTAAGATCAAAAATTTAGAACCTATGTTTTAACTTCCTCCAGATTAAAGAGCAAACAAACAGACCAGCAAATATTAAAGGCAAACCTTCATTAAATATCTTTGTTTCTGAAAAACTTAGAATATTCATAATCTTCTGAAATTCCAAGTTAATAGTAGAAATAAATACAAGTAGAATACTATTCTTGAACTTTTTCTTAACCTATGAAAAATACTGAGGTCTGTGCTTGATCTGCCTTCAATGGTAATAGTAATGCACAGGTTGTTATAATAGTGTTTTGTGTAAGAAGTAGTCATTGTCATTGATTTTAACCAAATTGCCTAAACTTTTTCTATCGCTAGATTTTTCTGTAGTACCTGAATGGAAGGTGTGTCTATAGTGTTTGAAATATTACCACGCAGTTATTACTTAAATTTTTTTAACTGAGTTTTTGATTTGCTCTATAAAAGTTACATATTATCTCTTAAAAAACAGAAACCAGGAGTCAAGTATGGCTCAAGAAAAATTGTTACAATTTCTCAGCTGTACACATAATCTGGATATATAGTTTATCCAGATCTTTCCATTCTTTTCTTTCCTCTAATCCTCCTAATAGCTTTCCTTTTTTTGGTTATTTCTTCCTATGGGGTACCTGTATTGCCTGTATCAGCCCATTTTGCCAGCATTAGACTTTTTTGCCTGTTTTTACTCTTGTATAGATGTAGCCCCACCTTTGAACATGTGTGTATTCCATCTCTGCTGCCTCTTCATACATCTTTTCTCCTCATCTGCCTGTTCCTTTAAGCAAAAGGAAGCATACCAGAGACTGTTGTTCTTTCATGTCTCAGCCATCACCTGCAGTTTTGAAGAAACTGGAGGCTTGCAGGGATGAGACTGAGTTGGCAACATGAGTCTACCTACCTGTAGGCTGCATGTTTTGTTGCCTGCTTCCTGTCCTTTTACTCAACAGCTGGTGTGGAAAAAAAGAGGTGAACAAAGATAAAAAAAAACAGTCTCTGGTTCTCTTTCCTCCAGGTATACCAAAAAGAGGGAGAAAGGCACTGTTGACTCACTTCTGCAAAAAATATGGCTTGGGACATATTCTCATGTAGATGTAAGGTATAGGTCCACAGCTATTCCCAGGCAGTAGATGAATTCAAGTGCCCAGGTTGCTAAAGCTATTTTGCTGATATATTAACTTATATGAAACAAAAATCTTCTTCAATAGGCAATACTTCTTGCCAAAACAGTGGTGGCCTAAACACTGACAGAACACTGCAGCTGCTCAGAGTTTGGGGATATAGCTAGAGGAGGGGGCCAAGTAGAATTGTTGCTTCTGTGAGTGCTGAGGCATCTAGAAGGACGTGAAGAGATGTAGACTAATGTGTGTGATTTTGGGCCAGTGTCTGAATGGGAAGCGATTGTTAGCTATGTGGCTTTAAAGGCTGCTACAGTTAGCCAAGGAGACTTGGGAAGCTTTTGGAATATCCCTTTGGAAAAGGTTTTTCTAGAGAGCTGAAGGTATATTCAGTGGTTTGACAGATGATTCCAGAATCTCTAGTCAGTCTCTTTCCAGTGGGGGGAAAAAAAAAAATGCCAAGAAAGAAGCATGGTAACTATAGTCTTATTTACTATTATCCAGTAGAGAGACTAGTAAGAAAAGAGTGAAATTTATCACCTTCGTGCTGGTTTAGCCAATGTTCCAAAAACTTTCTGCCTTTTCTGCAGAAATGTAGGAAAAGACCTGCTGTAACTATTGAATATATATTTTCTCTCCTTGGAAGGCATCTTCTGCTCCAGGCCATGTACTCCACAGGACCACCAACGTTATTCTACTTTACAATTTGTTCATTTCATCAATAGCAAAGAAGATGGAGCTAATGGTCAATTAACACTTTAAAATGATTACTCATTTTGTTTTACTGAGTAAACCAGAGTGGTGTGATTAAATTTCAGACACATGGGAGCTAAGTGTGGGTTATTAGTAGCTCAGAGTTTGTGGAAGATCCTGAACTGTTTGTCAATTGCTTCTTTTGGTCTTCAGGAATGAGGATTTCTGAAGTTTCTGGTTGTGCATCAAAGCATTTGAAAAGAGGATGTTTTCAGTAGGGATGTTTGGTATTAGTTTTAGAACACTGGCAGGCAGCCCTTTACTTCTAATTATATGACGTAGGAGGGAACCCGAACGGAGACAAGACCTGAGTAACGATATCACACTGATGTGATGAAAGTCTTCTCCTTTATGTGCCTGAATAGCGCCAAGATATACAGAGCCAGACGGTCACACGCTCTATGCTTTACAATCTGTTGGCTAAAGGCACTTATCACCCCCCTCCCCGGGAGTGCTGTGATAGGTCTGCATCGTTAGTACGCGTATACAAACTAAATCTACTTTGCGGTTAGTGTATCTGGGCATTCAACAGGAAGGAAGCACTAGCTTGACTTCCTCATTCTTGCCCTTCCAGGTGACCTCAAGGGCAAAGTTATCACGTGGCAGTTTTCTGCTCAGAGACCCAGCCTGGGTTGTCCAAACCCTGTAGGATCAGTGCATGTCCCTGATCCCCAAGAAATCCTGCCACAATATGAGAGATAATTTCTCACACAGAGAGGTAGTTGATTTAATGTTAATGTTTTCAGAATGGCCAGATAATCAAATGGATGTCTGATAGTTGGAACAGCATCCTTAATACAGATTGAAAGAATTAATACAATTAATTTACCACCACCACAAGAAAAATTGTGGGATTTTGTTTATGCAGATTGAAACTGATGATGAGTATACAAAGCTACATGTATGATACTCTTGCCATTTCCATGGCACAAGTCCACTTTCTCTTGTAAAGCTCAGGCCTGAGAGGCAAAAAGCAGTTACTTTGGTATGTGGGAGATGGAGGCTCTCCCAATTCCTTATTGGAGACTGGAGAGTCCATGGGCTACTTTTCCCAGGTAGTAACTGAGACCTTTTCCCAAGGGATGCAGATATCTCAGTTCTCATCTTATTTTGTTCTAGAGCATTTTCAAATATAGTTATAATGAAAGCTTGGCAAAAGAACAGTGTAAAATGTAAAAATAGCAAAATGTGCGGAGGCTGCTGTTCATTTTGTAAGTCAAAGCTTGTGACTAAAAAATGCTGCTTAGCAACAGATGGGGAAAATCTGAAGGTGATCACATCGTTTTGCAGTCCCTGAAAATTAATTATTCATGTTCATCCTACCTTTTAAGCACCATCCTTTTCATATCCCTGTTCTGCTTGTTCCTTGGGATTAGGACTGTGTGACTGGCTCGGTCATGCAACCCAGTTTTAGTGTCGCTTATGCTCGTGTTGCTGCAGCTGTGATTCAGCGACAGAGCTCTAGTTCAGGCTTCTTCAGTTCCCTGTCCCACTATGCTGTACATAATGTGTACTGATCCATATGGAATAAGACACAAAGGTGTCCTAGGACGGAGGGAAGGGCACCACAGACTGCAGTTTCTGTAGATGGTTGTTTTATTAAGCACACACTTCTGTCTCAGCTAGCACTGTTCACCACCAACCCTTGCTCTAACTCCTCCTCTGCAACTTCTCACACCTAGTTCACTAACAGTTTTACTCCATGTCTTTTTTTATGCTTTCAAAGAGCACAGGGTTGCTTTTGTTTCGAAGCTTGATTTTCCTTAGGAAATTAATCAGATCCCAGATTGAAGAATTTATTTTATAAATATTGCTAATGAAATACTCAGATTGTGGCATTTGGGAAGCTGTAAAGTTCTTACTTGATTCACTTGTCACTGCCATCATTCATCACGCACAGGGTGGAAGCATAAATACAATATTATAAATTGGCAAATAGTGTTTGATTTATTTATCTGCAGATGCTTTCCGTGTGAACCAAGACTTATGTTGACCAAGCCATTAATCAGTTTGGTAAACTTAAAGTATAAGTACCTCATAACCAACTGAAAAAATAATTTACATAAATAGCTAAGGATGCAGTGACCTGTGTTCATATTGAACTGGTATATGCTGCCACATGAAATCTTGCCTGACAGGTGGTAAAAAGTCTTTGGTAGGATGTTTGTACTCTTCACTGGTTGAATTTCAACTTTTAAAATGTAGTTTTGTTGCAACATAGTGTGGGAGTTATTTAGAAAATTTACATTTTTCTTTGTTTCTTTTTAGCCTTAAAGCAAGGCACCTTCAAGTAAGGATATTGGTTTTGTCTACATAGAGCTGTGAAAAATTCAGGGTGAATTATTCAAGATATTGATTAGGGATAAACCAGCAGATTATAAGAAGTACTTTTGTAAAACTGTTGTCATATATTGATTATGCTTATGACTTAATAGAATCATGTGTAAAGACTTGAGTTTTCAAAGCCTAGAAGTTACTACCTCCCTCATTATATGCCTCAGTGGCATATAAATCCATTTAAACAAACAGAAAGGATAAACCTTTTTATAAGAAAATAGAATAGCATTTACCAATATGTAAATAGGCACTAATAAAAATAATGAATATTTAAAATTTCAGAAAGAATGTACTGTAAAAAAAGAATCATCTTGCTATCTGTTTTGTAGGAAAGATACACTTTACATTAATTACATGCCATAATTATTTAAAACTATGCATACAGGAGTCCTCAAGTTTGGTATTTTTTGTTTTGTTTTGTTTTGTTTCAGTTTGTTTTTGTTTTTTTACCAGCTATCATAATAATCTCATGTAGTAGAGGCAGGTGATTGTGCGCTTTACAGAGTTACTAAGAAGTGCAGTTAGGAAGAAGTGCAATCTGTACACACATCTGCTACATGATTCTAAGAGATGCAGGATGAAAAGTAGAGTTATGAAAGTGCTGATTATGACTTTATAATCAATGTACATCTGAATAGCTGTGCTGTAGGGGACCAGAGATCTGACTTGTCTGATACTATTTCTCTGATACTGGACAAAAAAGTGGATTTGTAGGGAAGACTAGCTGATGTATTCCCAGGCTCCACCAGTTTGTACCTTATGGACCTTCTGAACCATATGTGGTATGGAGACCCGGACAAGTAGTGTACAGTGTTGTGAGCCATTCATGATCAAATAGTAGTTCCAGTGAGGAAAAGCACTAAAGAACTTTTGGGAACTAAGGTGGATTTGTAATTATAAAACTTGGGGTAGTCTTGATGAGCAAGTAGTCTGATATATGAGTACATTGTGGAGTGATATTACTTGTTACATATAATGGGTACAGTGAGTCCCAGCTACGTATACTGTGTTTGGAAGCTATTTAGATATTTGAATGCTATTTTAATATAAATGAATGAATTTTTGGTATCTATGGGAAATCCTTCAGTGTTAGCAACAACTTTGTGCTCTCCCCATGTTAACAGATAGCTTGAAAGGCAGAACTGATCTTAATAAGCACAGTTACAGAAATAAGTTTAACCTGTGCAAGCAATGAAAAAGACCTTGGAAATACTAATTCTTCTTAGGTTGATTACTTTTATAATTCACTCCCATAAAATGAAATTGAGCTAGAATCTAAGCTGCTGATTTGTAAATAATTGAATGTCTAATTTAATGTTTATTTTATTTGGCTTTTTACTTTTTTTTTTTTTAACAGAATAAAATAGTCTGGTGTATGGATTGTCTGCCTGCATTTGAAGAAAGACTTTGGACTCTTAAAAAGCTAGGTTTTTACATATTCTCAAATGCAAAGAGGTAAGGCAAGAGTGTTAATATAAGAAGAGGGGATAGGACACAGGTCTCCTGCTGAAAAAACTCTCTCCTCTATTCTCCTCTTTCCTGGGTAGCATAACCATTTATTCCCCACACTTTCCCTCTTCCTTGGCTAAAGTTTATTAAAGAGTTCTCATTTCTATTTCAATTTACTTTATACAGTACTTACAAGATGCCTAGATCCTCCAGTTGGCATCTATACACATCTGAAAAAAACCCCATGATATACATGCTAATTTGAGCTTCCAAATTGAAGGTTTGGATGTTCAGTTACGACGCAATTTGTTGAAAATGCTAGGCATTATGTACCAAAATCCCCGTGTCAGCTTTGAAAGTTAAGCTTATGATGAAATAAAACATTTCAAAATTGAAGTTATGTCTGCATTCGCTATTCCTCTTTAGGCCAAACGTGTGTTCATAATCCTTTCTTCTTATTCATTATTTCTTAACACACAATAGCAAATTAAGTCCACATGAGCCTTTTAGATAAATAAAACCAGATCAAACTGATTTGGCCCTGATCCTATTTTGGAATCTGCTGGTTTAAGGAGTATAACCCTAACAATAAGGGTCAAGGTAATTAGAATTGCTTAGAAATCCGTATTTTCTAGGTCTGAGCTGGGTCGTGCCTGCCAGCCTGAATTTCTCTGTAGTATTTTGAAACTCAGCCTTTGAACAAGGACTTAAATAAAAAAGTTTAGCAGCAAAACAGTAGCTTCTTGGTTCTTGACCATGCTACCACTTAATCCCCAGCTTTCCTCTCTACAGGGTAGTTAGAGACAACCTAGAAGGTAAGATGTAACTGGCTTCTAGAAAGATTTTATTGGTGAGTTAGTGCCATCGAATAGGTGTCATATTGGGTCCCAAAGCTGCACTGGAGGTGGCAGAATGTTTCTGCACATGGCTGAGACTGACTTAGGGTGAATCAGTGCATCTGTCCTAGGAATCAGGAGAAAATGCAGTGTATGTTACTCAGAGTATCTGAAATTAAGACTTTTACCTTGAACTGGTAGTAAATAATGGCATCTCAGAAGTGAAAAGGCATATGGAGGGCTATGAAAGATAGGACTTCTAAGGTAAAAACTGATCTATGAGTTATTGGCTAGTTTCAATTCCACACTTTATCATAGACTTGCTTCATCAGCTTGGACATAGCCCTTTGCCTTTAGTTTTTCTGGCACTCTATTTGTGAGATAAAATAAATGCATCACCAAGTGCATGACGGAATTAAACTCTTAATTTTATAATCTACCAATCAGCATGGTACTCTCCTCATAGGATCTGCTTGGTATTTGAGTAGAGGTTGTATTCTTTCAACCAGAATGGGTCAAGTTACATGAGTTTTACTTATGTCCATAGTCATTAAAAAAGACGGTTATTGTATTAGTATAAGAAACCACCAGCAAACCTGTGAGCAAGCCTACACCATCACTATGTAATAATTTAACTTAATTTGGAACTCTGTATGCTACTTTTTACCTCATCTATTTGCTAGGGCACAGACTAAGACATAGAGGAGCCATGTGTACTTCTGATACAGTAGAGGAAACAAAGCAAAATATAATAGGAGGAAAACCAGAAGGGATTTTTAAATTGTTATTATTAAGCCTTTATAATCTGTTACAACTAAAGAATTAAAAAAAAAGTTGAAGAAGGTATTAATATATCTGTTTAAATCTTTTAAAAATCTTTTTGTCTGACATAAAATTTGTAGTTAAGTTCCTAGTTTAAACTGCTGTTACTCAAGGTAAATAAGAACTGTACAATACCTCGCAAAAACTCTGATGGTAGTCTTCCCTAATTGGGAGTACTTGAAAGCTTTTTTTTTTCTTTTTTTTTTTTTTTTTTTTGCATGGAAGGAACTTTGTCTCCAATCTGGTTAGAATCCTTGATTCAGTTTTAGAATTTGAATTTTTTAACAATTTTTACATTCAGTAAACAAATACTCTGAAACCTCACTTGTGGAGAGTGCTTGATCCTTAGAATATTGTACTTTTTCTAAAATCTTATTTAGATAAAAGCTATTCACCTTGAGACAATAAAACCATTTGAAAAAAAAAAAAAAGAAACAAAGGAGAGGAGATAGCTCTGACTTGCAGAAACAATCCTAGCTGACTGTTCTGGGAATGATCTTCAGAATTACCTCATTATTTATTGGTGCAGTTCACCAATTAAACAAACAGTTTTATATATAGAAACAGGGATGGGCTTAGCTTACTTTTTCAGGGTCATTTTCAGAGACCTGGACACTGAAGATGTGCAGGCTCCTATTACCCAACACAGCAGATACTCTGTGTCTGTGTGTATATGCATGTGCAAATGCGTATGTGTAGTGTTACACACTATCAGCAAAGTTAATAATGAGTGAAGGAAAGTCAGAGATTCCTGGTGGATATTAGTTGAAATTCCTCTTTTGGGATAATAATGCATGTGTTATCCCAGTCACTAGAAATATGTCAGGGATCCCTAAGGAGATGATGGGACTGGGAAAGAAAAAAAAACACTACATTTTAATATCAATAACACTTTGTGGAAAAAATTCAGATTACTTAGTATGTGATCAAACCTTCTGTCAAGTAAATATTAAAGTGAAAAAGAAAATCTTGATTATGACTTCTGCCAGCTAGCAATGTGCAATATAATGCTAATATTTAAGAAAACCCTAATTTAATGTAATAGTTATATGAACCATAATACAGGAGATATATTGGTGCAATTCAAGGCTTGGTTGAGACATCTTCACTATCTTAAAGACTCTGTGTATAGATAGTACCCTGTGCACCAAGGTTTGCATTGGACAAGCTTCAAAGTTTCTAGGTATTTTTTCATGTTTGATATGGGCAGGACTCTTCTCTTGAAAGATCTCTAGATTTTTATTGTTGGAGTATAGCTGAACGTGATCTGAATGTGTACATAGTGGCCATCTCTGTGTTAGAAGTGTCTCGTCTCCAACTAGTGGTCATAACATAATGCTTTCAGACTGCAAGCATTATAAATGTAGTATGACATTCTGCAAGTAATAGAAAAATTGAATTGGTACACTTCAGAATGCATCTGTAACAAATTGAACAAGTGGATTACATAGACTTTAGCAGTTAGAATCATGCAATAGTTTGACAAATACATGTGAATTTTTAAAGACCATAGTTCTTTCCAACACATAACAGATTTAAAAGATGAAGCAGGAACAAAGCATATCCTGACAATGGGAAGAGCTAGATAGGGGAATTTTATTAAAGAAAATTTAGACAAATGTAGGAGACATCATTTTTGCTGTTGCAGATCTCCCATGTCCTGATATAAATGATTATGCATGGAATATGTGTTTTTCAGGCTCTGAAAACTTGCCAATTGTATTACTGCAGTGTGTTAAAAGGGCCATGAGATATAAATGCCACATGAAAATTTGCAACTTCTGCTATCTATGCATAAGATTCCAAGAATTTTCTTACATGTTAAAAATGCTTTGAAATTTTTCCAGGGCTGGGATTAGTTTATAAAATCAACTGATTATAATTTTATTGTTTCTATATTTGGCCTGGTTTTAATCTGTTTGAAAAAACATCCAAGACAAAAGTGAAAATTACATGTTGCAAGGACTTCCAAGCTGCTGCTCTGTTTTCTCTACATGTCAGTTTTCCAAGTGTGATGTGCCTCAAGTCTGAGACCAAAATGAAAATGAAGTTCAGTACATTATTTATATAAGCCCCTGGATATTAAGTAATGGACAAGCCTCTAGTGGAGCCAGTCTTGCAAATAACTCAATGTTAGTTGTGCTCAAGAGATATCAAAAATTGCAGCAATATTTAAGCAGTATTTTTGAAGGCAAACAAATGGACAAGAATACCGACAGACATCATTAAGATAAGAGAAGCGAAAAAGAAATAAATTAGAAAATTCCAGAGGAAAAACAGAAGAAAGATAAAAATTGAATGGAGAATCTGAGAATAATGCAAACACATCATCATTAGAAAAAAAGTTATAAAGAAACTGCAACATGTTACTTAAGTCAGGATTAAATGATGCTGTGGGTATATGACAGACCTCCACTGCAGCTGCACATTCCTGATGCCCCCGGGCTCTGTGACATTCCATTCACCTAAGAAGATGTTCAGAAAAAGGATGATAATGTGCATGTCACACTGTGTACACTAATGGGATCCAAGTAGCTCTACACAAATAACTCAAATTAGAACAATGCTGCCTATTTTAGGGGGGCTGAAATGCAACAGTGTCAGGTTTAGGCATTATGTACCAGTTTTGCTGGGGAAACTCCTGGGTTTTGAATCACTTGGGAGATGGTTTTAAATGTGCTTGAGATTTGAATGTTAGTATGTTTCTGTTGATAATAGCTAATAGTCACTAGAGAGAGACAAACCAGAGTTATTTCAGAGTCTACAGATTTGTTTCTGTTCTTGCTAATCCAGTTATCTAGTATTCCAGTATATACTGGTAAGCTTTCTGAGTTAGGGTTGATGGAATTTTAATTCAGCGAACTATAGTTATCAAAGACAAGCTGGAGCAGTGGGGAATAGTGATTTTAAAACAAAACCTTTTTAAATTTATAGGACATATGTGATAGATTTAGTAGTGATTTTGAATATTCTACCCTCAAAAATTATAAATTTACTCTGGCATTCTTGGAAACGCTCCTGTAAAGCCCCTACCTAAAATCCTTTAATCAGTGGTTCCAGATGTGGTTGCTAGCTTAATATTTTCTGAAGCAGTGTTTAGTCTTCTTCGGACCTAGCTCATGGTAAACCTTATCAACTCATAAACAGAGACTTATGTGTGGTTTTACTTTGAGTCTCCATAAAAAAGACTATTTATTGTGATCTGCTGAACAAACTTATGTGAGAAAAATAGCCATTAAAAAAGGCAAGTCAGTTGCAAAATTTCTTTTTGCCACCTGACCAGTCTTTTCATAAACAAAAAGAAAGAGTAAAAATGAGAATAGTCTAAGTGCCATTCTGAGAGTTGAG